AAACGGCAACACAAACAAACGGTCAACAGTCGGATTTCTGTCCGCGTCCGGAACGAAATCGGTGGCCGTTAACAACTGTACCGAAAGTTACTTAAACGATCAGAACTATGCAGCAACGTAAAGCAAAATGGTGTGAAAGTGGGCAGCTACGAGTATGATTAAGTTCTATGAGGTTTCTAATTGTCCGATTTCCGCTCGATATCGGAGTGAATGCGCTGTTTGAAAAACGAAGAATATAATTCGGAAACATGACTTAAGCAAATAAAAAAGCGGCTTCTAGCATTATAAATCACATTGCTTCATTACTATCTCGATCGGATTGCACTATAATTTCTATATTTTCCATTAGGAAAATGGTGTTCGAGGCACTGCGAATTGGTTTCGTATGTTCATTTAACATTGAATGCTGCCTGAAAAATATCTAATGGTACTCAATCAATCGACATGTGGATAAGGGATCGATGGAAACTTCATGAAGTGGTGCTGTGAGATTGTGTATTGACTGTCCGATTTTAAATCCGAAATTTGCTTCGCCATAGATTATTTCGGAGAGAAATAGGATTGTCACGGCACTGAACTCGGACTGAAATCGACCACACGGAGCACACTTGCGCTATACATTTTCCATATGATTATTAGCGCAATTGTAATAAGCGAGGTCATATTGTGTAATGCAGCGAAAGTAATTTTGCCTAGCAGAGCGGTTCTAAGTGAGTAATTACAGCGCGGACAGAGAAATACTACTACTAGACACCAGAGTGCGATTCTCAATAGTGCAAAAAAGTGTCCTGTGTTTTCAAACAACCCTAAAACATTATAGTGAAAAGTACGAAAGAGGAAAGTTTGCACTGACGCAAAGTTTGCATAGGGTAGACATTGGAACTCAAATGCAATAGGAACAAATGTAGGTTCGCATGGTCGTTCCATCTGTAGTGCGTCGTTTATCTACGTTGGAATTCTGTGGAAGTTTGGCCAGTTGAATAAGCAAAAGAGACACGTGCGGAACAAGTCCTTGACAAGCATTCAAAACCCACACGTTTTGGGCTTGCAGTCTTTGCCGCGCCGTCCAAATGTAACAAGAAATTGCGGTGTACTATTGTAGTATAATACTGAATACTGAATACTGTATTATAGAGCAAGTAGAAATGGATTCTGTACAACTCTTTCGAGATATGGCGAAAAACGTTATAAAAGTTGTCAACCTTGAATATCATTGTCGTTCTCATGTAATATTTAAAATATTCGACTTAGAATATTTCAAGATTCACAAATGTGGTGTCATCGTAAGTGTGCAGTCGTTCTCTGAATCGAATAGAGGCAAAATGCAAATCTAACGACGTTTTGAACTGTTGCACATATGTTGCCTCAATCACATGTTCGGGCAAACTATTCCAAATGTTTACCACTCTCCGTTCGAAGCACAGTGAGTGGGGAACACGTTTCATATCCGGCACAACAAGTTTGTATCTGTGTCCGCGTGTGCTGCATAGCCCTCATAAGTGCAGCATTGACCTTAACATGGCGAACTCACCGAGATGTAGAATTCGGTAGGTCATAATGAGGTCGACTCGCAAAAGAGGAATATAACAAATTTTGATGCTGAATTTAGTACGAGTGGTTAAGCAAGAGGGGAAAGAAGCGCAACCGAAATAGAAAGGAGGCGTAAGCTGAGATTAAAATTTGCATGTTGATGGCGCCATGGCGACATTTAAACTGTCGCCGTGGGGGACAATAGACGATCTCGGTTGACGTATTCCAGCAATCTATCTCACTAAGTAGAAAAGCGTGTCATCCCCAATCCAAGTGGATGGGAATTTGTGCAAATATGGCCGAGCCCTATGATGAGTATTTAATGGGGAAGGATGGTAAGGATTGGGTAGGGCTGGTTTGATCCATTCGGTTAATGTAAGGTAATGAAGAAAAATTTACTAGGAAGACGACGCTATTGTGTCGAGAACTTCCGTAGCTCGAGCAATCTGTCAGGGTATGATATATGCCGCATCTGGGAGCCTTATGGTACAACTCCTCATAACCCGCCGTACCGCCATCCTCTCACGAGTAAAGCAAGCAGCAAAAGCACGAACGCAGTACCGCAGATGCGGTGTGACAAAAGCCGTGAACAATATAATGATTTCTGCTTCTCTCAGCATCCCATCTGCTTTACAGTCCATGCAAAATGATCGGAAGCCCTTTGATGTTAGTTCGTCTCCCGTTCTCACTAGATGTGAAGTCCCGAGCAAACGTGACACTTAAGACCACTTGTTGCGTCACATTAGGTACTTCGTTCTTTTCTAACATGTAGCTCCTCGCCGGTGCGTTTGATTAATGGCGTAAAAATGCAAAAGTTGATGTGGTTTATTGGCATCTGCCACAGGAGAAAAATCGAAGTTTCTGGCAAGAGCTTGTTGCAAAGATTGGGGACCACTGGTCGCTCACCGTGCATCATTGTACCATTGTTTCAAAAGACTGGTCAGCTGTTTCTTAGTTGCTTGTTGCACCACCTGCACGCGTTACCGTGACACGGAAGCGCACTAAATTGACAACTGTCAAATGGTAGATGCTGGTATGCCAAAATTTCGCTCGCGCAGTCACAGTGGCATGATGGACTGCAGTGACGATAGCATGCCGTGCCTGCAGGCCTGAACACCGGTGCTAAGGTTCTGAAGGTAGACGGACAAACAGATCATGTCCAACATGTGGTTCCGCGCTGATTTTGGAATTCTAGTCAGCATGTCAGCATTGTGTGACGGGTGTCGTTGCGATGGAAGGTCAGACAGAACAATCCGCACACGCGGTTGGGAAATATATTCCTTGCACTAATATAGTCCATGGATTGCTCTTGGTACTACCGATGGATACACCGCTTTGCGGTAGGCCAATATCCTAGCCACAGCGACCCCTGTCTATTCGCTGCCTTAATAAAAAGAAGAAGGGCACACACTGGGGTCATCTAGATAGCTGCAACCGTAGCCTCGTAAAGTTCCTAAAGTGGATTCAGCAGTGCACTGTGGACCCAAATTGCCTACCAACAAAAAGATTCTAACATCATCTAGAAGGATCATAATAGATGCTAAGGCGACATTCTGACCGGCCATACTGCGTTGCCAAAGTTTAGCGGGTGGCTACTCTTGTGGTTGTTATGAATGAGTTACACGAGGGAGCAGCAATGGTTGCCAGGATACAGCAGCTTTTGACTAGATATCATGAGGTATCGGGTGCATCTAATTGCAGTAGCCCACGAAACTGCCGATCCTGATCGCTGTACATCTAGGTGAATTTTATTATAAGCTTGTCGACAGACTTCCTTTGTCTCTGAGTTTGGCTATCAGAAAGACTATGATTGCCTGAAACAGTCGCGTTACGGTACAAGCGAGTACAAGTGGCAGAGGCCCATCTATAAATACATCTTACTTTTACGAATAGGTATAGCACGTAACCCTCTTGTTCTGTTTAGACAATTCCCTTATCATTCATCCTCCCCGACGAATTTGTGGGTACAATACTAATCGCGCCCATTTAGTCGTGAAAGCAATTGTTATTCAGAATCAGTCAACTAGAGGTTGAAAACAACTCAGCACAACTCAACACACGCAAAGTAAAAGATTGCAGCCGAGGCACGCGATGTAAATCACCAATAACGGATGAGTAACGTTCAGGAATTCTACTATCCGGTATGTTGCCGTTAAAAATGGATTATGTAAAATTTATCATATGCTGTGCCTTGAGATCAGCATTGGTGGGGTCTAGGCGAATGTGAGTTGTAAATAAATGCACAATACAAAGAGCACGGAGGTCTACTCTTTAATGTGTCAGCAATTGTGTCCTGTCAAGTACGGAGCCGAGATGGTTCAACCGAGGCCAAATTCGAAGTAGTTGCCTTTATACCTCTTGACCAGATATTCGGTTGGCCGCCTCTCCTCTTCGTTTATTCGCACACAAGCGCGCAAACGTACCGCAAAGCGCAAACAACGCACTTGCGCCGGTAACCTGGGGGTTGCCCATCGCAATATTTTGGCACAGTTATCGAGAGCGTGCTTGCTGGAATAACGTGGGGGCTTAGTGTATCATTTTCTTCTTCCTGCGTCACAAACGGGGCGGTCCCTGAACACGCGCATATCTGCACACGGTGGTTTCCATCAGATAGAAGCCACATTCTTGCCCAGACACCCACGCCACCGTGACTTGAGCGGCCCCCGGGGCGCCACTCAGCCAAAGACGTCCCCGGCCGCGTCAGCGGCGGGACCGACGGGGTCGCCGGGGGGGGGGGGGGGGGGGATTTCGGCCTGTAGGGTCCGCGGGGCGCGGAGGTAAGGGGACCGCTACACGCGGGGGGGGGGGCTCGGGCTGCCCAGTGCAGACCCGTGCCACTCTCCGTATGCCGGGCGTGCACCGTGGACGCTGGGTGTGCTTGTGCCAGGCCCACCAGAGCCGAGTAAGGGCTACTCCTAACGCGGGGCGCTGCGGGCGCCTCGCAACCCTGACCGGACGGGCCCACGAAGCAAAAGAGGGGGGGGGGGGGGGGGGGGGGGGGGGGGGGGGGGGGGGGGGGGGGGGCGGCCCAGCCGATGTCTGATGATAGCCCGCGCCCCACGGCAGGTGGGAGCAGAACCCCCGGGGGGGAGTCGCGTCTGAAACGCACCGTAAAGAAGCTTCTTATACGGGTATGCTGTGTTGTAGCTGTGTGTGTGTTGTTACCAGGGACTGGTTGCATCGTGGCTGCACCACGCCATAGAGTGGGTTGCGCCGCCGAGGGCGGGAGTACGGCATGCTCCCGCTGTAGCACCGGTGAGCCAGTAGGACCAAGAGCGGGCCGCTTAACGGCCCGGACGAGCCCCGAACGCACGTCGTGCCGAGTGCGCCCGGCACGTGCGGGCTCTGCAGGGATTCCGGGCGGCTCTTCAGCGGCCGCCGGGCGTGGGAGGAGCCGGCAAGCGGGGACGTCACACCAACCACGCGATGTACGGTCCCCCCCCGTGTGTGATAGCGGCAGCGCGCGCCGTCCGCAGCGTACCCAGGGTAGAGAAATTGCGGCGCAACGGGCCGGGGGGGGGGGGGGGGGGGGGGGGGGGGGGGGGGGGGCCCCCGCCTACGCCGCACGGTACCAGCGTCCGGTGCAGCCGGGAGTGGCGTGAGGACTCGCATGCGGGCGGTACGCTCGCTGTGGAAGCGACCCGGGGTTGACATGACGGGGGGGGAGGAGGGTCTTTGGAAACATTTGTTTCATTTACTGGGACGTAATGTCATCTCGCTTGAGGACTTTGACGGTTTTAATCAAACCAAGCTTGATGTGCAGGGGTGGTAGATAGATATGATCAGGCTGCACAAGAACTGTATGCTTTACACTCATTTTCCCTGCAACTTACTCCGTCCTCTCTGGGCGCTTTTCTGTTGTGTAAAGCTGTTGTGTTGCTCTACTGTCCCATAAGCACAAGAAACAGCAATATATTGTGACGCATCCTTGCAAACCCATTAGGAGTCCAATGACTGAAGTCAGCACAACCGTTCCAACAGGACATATCGGAGTCCAGTGCAGCTACTATATCCTTCATACTTTCTTAACTCTCCTTCCTCTTGGTGGCATGCAACAGAGGAACAGATGGGTACAAAGTTCTATTGTGGAGCACTGTGGCGTTAAGACTAGGCATAGACCAGTCAATGAACAAACGTCATTCAGGACTGCTATGCCTCAAGCTAAGTTCCTTCATCAGCCCTTCCAAGTCGGAACAGTAACCAAATATTTCTCTCTTACCATAGAAATTGGACAAGTTACTACCTCTCTTTATGTATGCAGTAACATTCGTGTTTGCAGCACGCAAGTGCCCCTGCTGCAACCAAGATGCCAGCAACTCGGCATTGTCTTTAGGCAAGGCTAGTTCAGGTACCAAATCATTCAACTCTGCTTGTTCAATAAGATGTGGATTGACAACCTCAGCTTCGAAGATTTCACGGATGTTAGAATCAGGTGAAGTTGACGATGCGAAGTAACTACGCATCATCAGTGATATGTTCTCGGAAGGCACTGAAATGGGTAAGGAGAAATCGTCTGAAACAGGTCGAACAGCTGATGGAACAATGAACAATGAACAACGATATATTACAGGTAAAAAAGCGATTGCTTTACAAGTCCCGTAGGATGGTTGAAGTGAAATAAACATAAGTGTAAATCGTCAATTTAAGCGTCTAGTGAATTCAAGTGTCCCTTATTCATAGAAACATTGTAGAATGTGTACTGAATTGTTACTATAGAGTAATATGGGAAGTAATATGGGTAAGACATGTCCTAAGAACAAGAGAAACGACCAACGCTTACTCGTGCGCCGCTTTCTTGGATTGGGGTAAATTGATGAATGCAGTTGTAATATATCCGAAATTATATTCCACAACAGCAGTGTGTAAATAGTGAAGCACAAAAGCTGAGAATAAGCACCGTTTTTTTTCGCGTTTGTTTGACGTGGACATCTCTGATTATATAGCGTAATGTAGGCGGATCGGCGAATCATCCAAATCATCATCTTTTGAATACCGTTAGCGTGGGAGAAGAAACAACGTATGTGGGAAGAGCGTTCCAGTGTTCGCATACAGGAAGGGAAAAGAAATTCCGGCGGCATTCCAACCGGCTGTATTGTGTGGCCAGCTTTAGCTGGTGTCCTCTGAGTGTTATATTGCTATTCAGCTTTAGTAAGTGACGACAACAATGGTTTGGATTCCTCAGGATCAGGTAAGTCATTATCAAGTCGCCACGCAGGCGTCGGTATTTTCCACTGTAGACCCCGAGGGTTTTCAGCCTCAATCGGTAAGGGAGATGAAACATGCGCTTTACTTTCTTGGTCGCCCCTCGTTGTGGCAGTTCAAGAGCGGTAAGGTCTTGCTTTTGCCATGGCTGCCAGGCGTGGATGGCGTACTCAGAATGAGGCTGAATGTAGGCGTTGAGCATCTGAGAAAAGATAGAAGGATCAAAGCGCCCGAATGTCCTCTGCAAAAAGCCAAGGTTGTGGTTAGCTTTTTTGGAGGCTTTCTCGGCCTGACGGGAACAGCCCAGATCTTCCTGCACTACCACTCCTGGATCACATTCCGTTATAGTGCGCTGCAATATTTGATTCCTCAGTCTGTATTCGCAAGTGGCTTTATGGCGTATGCTCAACACGTTGCACTTTGTAGCGTTGAACTGAAGGTCCTGGTAAGGGATTATATCCTTGTTTCAGTTGGAAAATTCAATGATACTACTACTGCAGAAGTAGCAGTCTACAGTGCGATCCTTCGGCCTCCTCCACACCACGGGAACTGTAATAGGCACCTTGTTTTGCCTTTGAGTTACTGAGTCAGAAGAAGATTGCACGACACACAAGTAATAGGTGGCAACCACTTCCTATCCTGATCTCCCAGTTTCATCCCGAAGTATGCGTGGTAGGAAGACTTCATTAGTTAATACATGCGTCTGCACAGCGACTTCGTAGTAACCAGTCAACAGATGTACAAAAGTTTGATTTTGGTCATTGACACAGCAGCGTCTCCGGGACATGATCAAGATATCAATTACGGAAGTAGTAATAGTATCAACAGCATATTAACTAGACATGAAACCAACGAAACCAAGGGTATCAGCAGATAAGAGATGGAGTCGCTGCGTCATCATAATCAGGGTGCAGTGAATGAACCTGAACAACACACCAGCTAATGCGCCGCAGGAATAAAAAGAACCTTTTTAATTTATCATGCGCCACATTTTTACTGCTTTCAACAATATAGCCTTAAGCTACTTAATCAAAGCAAGTATATATATATGTATATATATATATATATATATATATATATATATATATAATCAGCAGTCAAAGAAATGGACATGCAGCCAGCAACAAAACCGTGAGAATCAATGAAACATATAATTTCACAGCAAATTGAAAGAAACATCTTTAATCTGTTTTCACACGCCGATTTAATTTTTGTTAACATTTACAAGGTTGAAGAGTTAGACATGTGAATTACTGCAATTCTATACAAAATTATTTCAATGATTCCGGTGGTAAGCCATGTTTTCAAGTATGTTAGGCCATTGACACTCTTCATCCCTGGGTCTCTATCCCTGGAGAAGTAGGGATCCAACGGCTTTTAGATTCGAAGTCGGAGATTTCATGTGATGTCGCCAAGTGGAAGGCTGACCACTACGCAGTCTGCTCAAGTCAGGTCCTTAAGAAGTGAATGGATTGCGGAGCGCTACAAGCCCAGGCAACATGCGTAGGAGGTGTCCAAGCCACCTCAATCGGTACAGCAAAACCAGTTTATAGGAATATTCGCATTCCCTAAGACGCAACCTCGAACCTGACTATGAACTATCAATTAAGGAAACACAGCTCTTAATCAACTTCCAGTATCAGGTGGATACTATGGCCAAGATCACTTCTTTTATACGGTTACAGGGAACCAATCTACCAATCAGAGACGAGCATTCGCTGCATGGAAAGCAATGCTTACCTGAAATTAAAGACAAATTCAACAGATACACGACGTGATAGAAACATTTGATCTGCATATGTGTTATCAACTCACTCGTTGCCATCAGCAAATCGCTATCTCACTTCTGTTGAACAGTGTTACTTTTTGACGATAAACCAAGCGCTAATGTTAAAAGAACAGACAATACGAAAGAAAAGACGTGAGTCGTCCTGCTCAGTAAGGACGCAAGTGAAACGATGCTACCAGGAAATCCGCATTGCTATTTAACTAGCGGACAGAGCACAAAGATGGATCGAAACGGGGCTAAACTTTACGGACGTAGTAATTAACGAAGCCAAACGTATGTCTTATACTCTCTCGACGAAAAGTACTGAAGTTGGAACGAAATGTGGTGACCCCAGTATGTTATGATACCTTGTTGTTCTGAATTTCCGTGGTTGTATCGATTTGCCTGCAGATAAGTTCTGTTGGATACTGTTTACCAGTTATCAACTTTCAGAATAACAGTTCACTTATTCTAAGCATTAAATGTGTAAAGTCGATACCAGCCCCCATTGGCACAATTTCAGGATTGTACGGTTAACTCTGATTCCGGTTGCTCTCGTGTCGCCCTTCGGGAAGCAAGAAAACTGGGCCGTGGTCACAAAGTCATTCATTGAGATTAAACTCGAATATTTATAAAGTATATACGCTATTTACAACAGTCCGTCTCAATGGCTCATCCCTCTTATTTGCATTGTGTCGCTGGCTCCCTTTCCATTGGTTTATGATTGCTTGTGACATTCACTCTGTCTAAATCACCTTGGCTTTCTTAGTCGATGTACGATTGGCGGGATTGGGCCCACGAGCTTCTCCCCTCGGTCCAATGTCACAAGTCTTGGCTCAAGGGTGCAGGAGTATGCGCTCCTTCGTCTGTTGGCTCCTGATTGATCGTTGCACGTTCGGTGGATAGTTGCGTGGTGGTCGCCATTACGGGACAACTATTTGCTGATTGGCTGACCAGTCTGCTTCCGGCAGCATGCTCACTCCTTATCGGTCTGGCCTGTGACGTTCTATGGGCATTAGAGACTTTCCGATCATCGGCATTTCCAGCCCCCTCACATTTGCAAGCCATGTTTT